TGCTGCCATGGCTTCCTGTTGAGCCAGAGGCATCCGCTAATCACCCTGACGACTAGCTGCACGTGCTCCGGTCCTGGGCCTCCTACCACAGCCAGAATGAATTGTCGATGGCCCATGTCCGTACATTCCTTTGCATCCTCAACGAACTCCTCCTGATGCCTCTGGCCTGCCACCCGCGTCGCACCGCCAAGGATCTTGTTTCCGCCATAGCCAGCTATGTGCCTGTGCTAACCCCCACCCAGGCCTCCGCCACGTCCGGTCTCGAGGTGGTGCACATGGTGGCCAAGCGGTGGGCGACACCACAACCGCATCATCCTTTGTCTTCCTCAAGGTTGTAATCCTCACCGATGCCACCGCTGCCGCAGTTATGTACTCTTCCTCCTCCTCGTACAAGGAAAGGTTGGTGCTAGCAGACGTCTAGAGGTCGACCGCCGCTAGCGAGGATGCGTACATGGACACGGCGAGGTTGCAGACGCTAAAGAAGTGCACCTAGGAGATGAAGAGCGAGAAGGTGTTCAGGATCCTCTTGCCCACCAAGGTCTCTCTATACAACATCCACATGCCAATTTAATTTCATATTGCTACACACACAATTACTCAAGAGATCTTAGGATGAAAGGATTGTTGCAATAAGACTTGCTTGCTCGCAAAGATTAAAGTAATTAGGACCCCCAAAGATTAAAGTAACTAGGACTTCCATCAAACAGTATGTGTGCGATGGATCTTTTCAACTTTGCTTCCTATTCAATCAGGTGCATATTTCGTGAGATAATCTCTTATTTTGATTTTATTTTTTCCCTATGGATTTCAAGATAGGAGGGCAGCTAAGACTGATCTAAAACCGGTTGAACAATGCCAACATTTCATAGTTGTATGTTATTTAGGGCTGCCTAAATTCATATCACCCAGAATTATCTGATTTCTCCGAATATGTTGATCTCATGAAGTAATAAATTTTAGATCATTGTACCTAGCATACTTAGAATGAAAATTTAAATCATGCATGTGTTTAGGAACTAAGTTCAAAATCATGTTATCATTGTCTTTAATTTCTAAGTTATCGGCACTTTTTCTTTTTGCAGTTGTTGGGGAAATATTTGGTTATGCTTGATCTTTAATCTTCCTTACGCCTTCGGTCATCACGATAACTAGAACATGATGACGCGCGTTGCCGCGCCCGTAAATGTTTAAAATAAAATGAATAATAAGATATTTAGATGGCCATAGCAAATAATGAAATCACAAATAGCACATAACAAACAATGTAAGTCAGTGCAACAAATTCGAGTTTAGTAAGATCTTGCAAAACTTATGCCCATTTTCTCATAATTTCAGCCACAAACTCATAATTTTGAACATCAAACTATTTTTATAAGTTTTTGGAAATAGCTTGAAACAATATATAATTTTAGATCAAACAAGAGGACATGCCCGGCTAGCAATCATGCAAGAGTGAAAGAGATGTTGTAAAAAATACCAAATGTATACAAAAATTTACCCTTTCTTCTTGTTCTTCTCCTTTAAAAATTAATGTGCAAAAAAATGTTTTCGGACGGAAGGCATGAGAACACAACATAGACCAAAGGATATGGTGTTGTGTCAGAACTTCGTGTGTCGGTGGCTGGTTGCAACCTTCTCGGCATTCGCTTATTACATCATGCATGGGGGTGCACCATGGTACACCACAGCCTCTTCCGGGTAGCCCCACCATAAATCCATGTTTAATGTCGTAACCTAAGGATGTGGTAGTCTAAAGAGAATATATTTGTCCACATATATGTGACATAAATTTTGATATCATTAAACACATTACAAAACAATAAGAAAAATACCGAATACTGGTATCAAAATAAATTGATAAAAGCTATGGGGAGTGCTCAAGTAAATCCAAGAGAGTGTGCAAATCGCCAAAGCCTGTTGAAAAACGAGTTATATATATGACCCATTAGATGGTTCCTTTATAGATATAAAAAACCGAAAGAGGGCGGATCTTTGGCCTGCCCAACATCAAAGCAGGCAAAGATCTCTGATGTCATGAATGAAATTGGTATGATCAGCTACAAACCGATATACAATTTATTTAGAACTAATAGGACATAATTGTTTCTTTGTTATATCAGCCAAAGCAAAACTCCATATATGTCATACATAAATCAGAAATTGACATGAAAACAGTTCAGAGATCATATTAGCGTGTATCTGCCAGAAGAGAGCTAATAAAGAAATGGCATGTAACAGGGGGAAGTACGTGTACCAAAGGCAAGATAATAACGTGCGCTATCGATGTTTCTTTTATCTTAGCAACTAAGCACGTACCCAGAAAAATTTAGAGAGTCCTTTTGTTGAATCCAACTAAACATCTGCATCCACGACACAAATCGCCAAGATCTTGAGCGAGCTGGAGTAGAACATAAAAACCATACATGCCGGAATCCTACAAAACAATTCTGAACGAAGTCTCACTTATATTCAATTAAATCAAGGTCTGCGGTGGTGGACAGTTGAATTGCTCTCGTGTCTTCTTCTAGACCTCGCCTCCTCCACGATCCTCCCTAAGCTAAGCAGCTGTATTAGACAGAACGGCGAGGGGGTAGGCGAGTACTGGCTTAGGTGCACCTCCCCCGCACCTTCGCTGTTGAGGTAGCCTCCGCCTCCTACTCCTCGTCATCGCCCACGGCCGCTGTCGCCATTGCTTCGCCTCCTGTCCTCTCTGCTATCACGAAAATAAGATGATCAAATAGATATGGAGCATAAAATAGCATCATCAACATGGGAGAGGAGGTGGGCAACCAAAAACGGACGCCCACTACAACCGGAAGGGGAGAGATCGGAAGGGCGGCGACGGCGCACCTTCCACGCCATTAATTGCGTGAACGCCGCACCGTGAATGCAGTCGCTCCGCCTCTCGCGCGTATGGAGCACAGGAAAGCTGGATGACCTGGCATGTTAACGTACGATGTTGGATCTGGGCCTTTGACCTTAGGACCCAATTACGTACAAAAACGGTAGATCATTCCGTGGAGTAGCGGCCCACGAAACGGTGTCTGAAACCTGTGGTAGTTAATAGCGTGAACGATCAATCCTGCACGTAGGTAACAATGATCCGACGGCTTAGAGCTCCAAATCGCCGTGGAGGCTCCTAGGTGGCTCAGTTTTACTGTTTTTCAATATATACTTTATCATAACACATGAACATTCAACTATGATATCAAGTAATTCTTCACTTATTCGTCGATGAAATTACTAAGTGTTGCCGTAGCAACGCACGGGCATTGTCCCGGTGATAATAACTGATTACTTGTGTTTCCTAAGAATGTTTTATCTTTGGAAATTCGGAATCATTTTGAGAAGGTGGCATACTTGTGATTTTTTTTTTGCATCGTAATATTTATATTATAAGGATCATAATATAGGCCATGTAAACATCAACATTACAAAACTGAAAAGACAGCAGAACACTAGCCTTTGCACAAAGAAACACCAGTCCAAGAAAAAAAATACAATCAAGACCGAAGAATCTCATGAGCTTGACACCATCTCCCGCCACTTGCCTTCTGCACCACCAGAGCAACCACCAAAGTAAAAAAATGACGGATCACCTCCTGAGCCGAACTCGACGCGACTATCACTAATATGCAGCTTTGCAGACCTTTAAGGTGACTCAACAAATGTGAAGCCATTGTTGTTGAACGGATCAGATCAGGGCAACACCCGGGATGCGCCATCGAACACCAGATCTGGCACACCAGCATGACTAAGACGTCAAAGGAGGAAACCATCAAGCCAACCACGAACCACGAGCTCATCACACGATTCATCATCTTCCATATGTCGCCGATGCAGACCACAATCTGCATCTGCTCCTAAACTACCTCCCAAGCTACACGCCGGCGCTGGAGCACATCGCAACGGTGGAGCCTGAGGACACAGGTCCACCACAAGGATGGCGCTGCCACCACGCCACCCTTGCTTGAACGGACTAGTTTTCAAATCCAACCCCAATCATAAAACCAATTGCCTCGTCGGGAAGAGATCTGAAACTTCTGTATTCAACGGCGCGATCGCCACTTTTGAAGCCAAGACAATCCTAAAATTACACGATCCACGCGTATAGATCCGGCGAACCCTCCTCATCACCGACGACCAGGGTCGCCGGCAGAGGAGAGCCACCAGAGGAAGGCTGCGGACGGACTCTCCTGCCTGCAGCTAGGTACACTTGTGATTATCCCCGTTGATAAACACACTGGTACTTCCTATGTAAACAAATACAAGACATTTAATGATTTAAAACGTTATATATTTTATACCCTCTCTGTAAAGAAATATAAGACCGTTTAGATCACTACTCAGATCACTGGAGTAGTGATCTAAACGCTCTTATATTTCTTATACGGAGGGAATATTTGTTTACGGACGGGGTACAACAATATTAAGACAGTGCAAGCACAGAAGCATCGACCGACGCAGATCCAAGGTCGGCCATGCCAAACAGAATAATCGAACCAGATTATGGACTTGTTCTACATGCGGATTTCTGTATGTACATACACACAGACAGAATTTATGCAGGCGGTCTACAACAGCAAACCAGTCATACATGGCATATCTGGTCGCAAACCTTTAGCCCTAACCCGTCATAGCGTTTCAAAATGACCTAGCCCAGATTTACCTGCTATAGATCAGGTTTTAAAATGAAAATGCCCGCTCGCGTATACAATACATAAATCTATAGAAAGCAGACTAAAGCAATGCCAGGCAACATCTGTCCAGCTGACAGCCTTGTTCAAATATGGTCCATGTAACCCCGTCCTGCACGGTTCCACAACGCCGAGGGCCTGAGGCAGCCATCTGTTCAGCAGCCAGACAAAATCAAGAGCCCATAGCCCATGTCCCAATACGACAGCATCCGATTAGTAGCAACAGGCAACATCCTGCTTCATCATCCTTCTTCCATGCTGCACCACTCCACGCAAAAAACTGCAGACACCAATTTGTTCTCCTTAGGCTTGTCTCCACGGATCATTGGATGGATTCGGCCCCCTGATCCTCCCAAACTGCAAATTATCTCTAGACCTATCACCAGGATGCCCCACATCATTGGACAGATTCCGGTAACTACCATTTCTCGCAACAGAGTTGGGATGGCCATCCTCACCGGCCGTCATACCCATCCTGGGTGCCGGAAGCATGTCGAAATGCCTCGGTCTCGGTCCACTAGTCCTCATGTACCTTGTGCTGCTTGAAGAATTCAGGCCCCGGGCGTTTGAAAATTTGTTCATAGCTAGGAAGTCACTCGGGATGCTACTCAAGTCCATGAAACATTTTCTCGCCTTTGCATCTGCTACCAGTGCCGCCCAATCCTCTGACTGCATGAGGGCATTGGCATTACCAATAACCTAGAAAACAACAAAGATATATTAGTACAGTGGCACAAAACTAGCAGCAAAACAACACTAGTACATTGCTCTTTATGCATATTTTTGAAGGAGGATGGAGGGGATACCCATAGAGCTCTCCTAGCTCGAGTAAGAGCGACATTCATACGGCGTATATCTGCAACAAAACCAACACCGTGGTTTGAGGCACGGACACATGACATAATAATCACATCACGCTCCTGGCCTTGAAAAGCATCAACTGTGTTTATGTAGATATCTTTCCCTTCCTCGGTATTCATAACCTCCGCGAATTCCCGCTGAAGACACTTCAACTGCAACTTATAAGGAGTGATTATACCAACAGATGCTTTCTTGCCACCATTAGCTCTCAGGAACTTCTGAAGATGCTCATACAAACACAATGCAAACTGTGCTTCATGGACATTCTGGTATGAAGATGACCCACCTCTATGGGACTCACGCCCATGCGAGATGTCATAGAAAATGTAAGGTGCCATTAATGCATCTCTATAGAATGCCTCATCGCGCAAGTTGGCGACACTTTCACTATCTGTAAGGCGGCCTTGGTAGAAGTATCTTGATGGAAATTCACGGATCTGGGGATGCATCCGATATTGCACTGACAGCAAAATGGTAGGGCAACCAGCTTGCTGAAACCTCTCAAAAAGACTCCTGCTGTAGAGTAAAGTTCCAGCTGCTTTGCTAATAACAGTGGCAGGGAGCTGTTGTGGATCACCAACCAAGACACATCTAGCTGCACCAAGTGAAAGTGGAGGGAGGACTCCTACTTCACTGGCCTGAGCAGCCTCATCGATAACAACCATATCAAAGCCATGATTAAGGGCAGAAAATAACTTGCGACCACTGCTTGATACTGTAGTAAAAACAATTTCCGCTTCACTGGCAAAACTAGCTTCCAAACTAGCCCTAGCATCTTCCAGATTGAAGTTTCTGCCAACACGGAACCTGCTTTCTAATATCAACAGGCGTGACATCTCAACCAGTACTTTATCCCTGCTTTCCACAGAAGCAGCAAGTTTCTGAAGCAGTATATCACGGTTACGATCCCTTTGAGCAAGCATGTCTGGATCTACTCCAAACGAACCCTGAGATCTACCAGCCTCTGCAACCATATTAAGTTCCCTCTGCAGAAGTGCTATCTCTTGTGATAATTGTTGTTCACGGACTTTTAGTTGATGCAGCCACCCAATTACTTCCTCACGTCCCTTCATTAAAAGCTGTTCCGTCCGTCGCTCAACTGAAACAGCTTGTGCAGCACGGGACTGTGAATCAACTCCAACACGGGCAACGTCAGGGCGGTAGACCCTCATCTCACCATCTATGAAACCACGATCTAGAACACGAGCAAGCAGCTCATCTGTTGCAGCATTTGATGGGGCACAAACAAGCATCCGCGGTTTGGGGCAAAGCTTGGGAAGAGTGCGAAACAGGTTTTGATTCATGCTCTGCAAAACTTCATCCATTGAGCCCGCAGCAACAGCTTCTGAGGTGCTGCTAGCACTACCACCAACTTGCTCATAACTTTCAGGAGCAAGTTTTTTTAGCAGAGCAGCATAGTAATGTTGATACTGAACAAGATGAATAACATTTAGCATTCCCCAAACAGTATGAGTTTTCCCTGTTCCTGGAGGACCTTGTACCAATGTGAAAGGCCAAGGTTCTTGTTTCTTCACTACTCCATTGCCTGTGCCAGCAGCTGTATGCATTGCAGCCCAATGGATTGCTGATAGCTGAGGCCCATTGAATGTATGATGGAGATGACAAGAAAAATTTGGAGTGAAGCAGTCAGGCATAGCAGGTGGCTGCTCTTGGTACTTGGGGAAGTGCTCTGGACTCGGCTGAAGAATTGCATTTTGCATCTAATGGAAAGATTTCGATCAAAACCAACTGAAAAAATATTAACCAAGAAATCCAGATAGCATTTAACTAAGTATAACTGTATATCACCTGCACATTAAGACGGCGGAATGCGTGCAACGCAATATACTCCCTTTGTGTTGTTGCGAGAGAACCGAGACCAGTTAGATACCAGGTGCTTTGAGGTTGGAGTTTCCCCAGAACATTAATCTCACTGTCGCAAATACAACACAAAAAGAATAATAAGACGACTGAACATACAGGATTCAGTTAACAAATGTATAAACAATAGATAAACGGTCAAGTTATAGTGTTCCTAACATCAAGCAAAATTAGCAAAGAATATGAGTTGAACTTATCAACCTAGCAGCTAAAACCCCAAAACAAATATGCCCATGAACCTTATGATAAAGCATGTTCAGATGAGTGACGTTTAGCTGCGGTGTAGCTTAAATCCATCAATAGGGCAATAGGCTGCTATGGTTGTCAGCATCAGGTATGATATATGAAGCTACAATGAGTTGCAGAGTAGATGTTGCATGCATGTCCAAGAGTTCAATTTAACAGTGAGTGAAAAATCTGCATTTTTTACAAGTAACCCTTGGTACAAAAAAAAAACTATGCCTAAGAATAAAACAATAAATCTATCTTACAGAAAATCTCATTTATTGTGGATACGATATGCATGTATGACGAGAGCAGAGCGAAGTCTTAGTGAGCAAACAACATCGGAGATAGTATTAACTTTCAGAGTGGTCAATTTAAAGAATGAGCATTCACAATGATAAATCCATTTGCAAAGAACTAACAGCAAGGCTCCAACAAAACCAAGTTCAACAAACACTAGTTCAAATGCATCCAACATGTGGTTAGCCAGCTAAGAAACAAATAAACAGTGCTATCGGAAACATCAGATTACCAGCTAGAATCAGACGGGTTCCCAGCATAAAAACGGATAATTGCTCCAATGGGATCACGTGTATCATTAGGCATATGGCGCCGGACTCTACCAACAAGCCGTCCACACTCTGACTCGGCATCTTCATTTGAACCAACAGTCTTCCTATTAGAATTACTTGACTGTGCAGCTAAAAACAATGAAATGGGTAAATAAGCGGAGTTGCCAAAACACTTTCTCGAGAGTAAAATATCTGCTCACTTAATAAACTACTAAAAGAGAAATACAGTGGAGCCACCTGAATCAGGCCGAGGGAATGACAAAACTGCAACTTCTCCTTCTTTAAAAGTCCATTTATATTCATGTGCTGGTAGAACAAGAACATCATACCACCCTGGACACATTAATCATGATTTGGTCAGGTGATGATTGCATCAAGAAACGAGAGTGCATACTACAGAACATGCCATGAATAAAAAAGTGGAAGATATACCTCTTTCACGCCTATCCACAGTTCTAACGCGCACCATTACATGTGCATCCCTTGAGACAGCCTCAAGAGATTCCTCATAAGAACTGTGTAGCTGAGCTCTGCATTCCTCAAAAAGCAAAGGCTCAAAAACTCTAATGTACTCCTCAGCAGATTCAAAGCTTCCAGGAACAGATTGGAGTTCCGACTCCTCTGCTTGGATAAAATGTGCTTTGTTAAATTACAGGCACACGTGCAAAAGTAGTCTTTCCATCAGTAATGAAATAGTGAAGACGCAAAAGAAAAAGTGCCAGAGTATCAAACATGAGAACACACAAAAAAAAAACATACATTGAGCAAACTATAACAACCTTGAATACATACACAAAGCAGTGAGCTGTATAATTGTTCAGATTAAGCAAGCACATCATACATAATTCATTCTCATCACACAGCATATAATTTTCCAGATTAAGCAACTGTATTCAACTGTGTTAATTAAACTAAAAAGATCCAAAAGAAACATGGGTAATTTAGGAGAACTAACCTGGATTATGCCAGAACTTATCACTTGTCACTTCCTGTAGAAGTCGTTCAACAGATGTGTCATGATATTGTGTATTATTTGCTGAAGCTTCTTTCTTGGAAACAAGAGACCTCTTGTGGGCTCGTTTCTGATCTGCCATGTTCTGCCCTGTTACATCTGCTCTCTGAGAAGAGACTGGTCGGCCCTTGAACTGCTTGGAATCCATGGTTTGCCTCAAAGTGGCCTGCCTTGGTACAGATTGTTGGTTCCCATCTGAGGGGGGTATTTCAGCATTCATTTTCTTTGACCAGTTCGGAGATGCCAATTCAACATCAACACTGGAATCTGCATTTCTATCCCTTGGGGTGGCAGAATTACTTCGTTCTGGACCCATCATTTCAGTTTGCCTCTGGTCCCTGATGGCCAGCTGGTTCTGTGTTCCTGCAGCTACTTCACCAGCCCCACGAGATTGTCTCCTGGGTGTTGATATTGTCATTATACCAGCTTGCTTTGCATCCTCGTCATTAATTATCACAGTTTGTCTGGCTCGCTTTTTACCAAGCATTGCTACTTTGTGTTCATCCAACTTAGATCTCTTTGGAGGATTGTTCGCAAGCTTCAAAGCATAATTGGCTTCTACTCCTCTAATACCCTTTGACCTGTTTTGCAGGTCTAAAGCATCCTCAGGTTGATTTCCTTCACATTCAAAAGTTTTCAGGTTTTCTAGCTCTGTGGGGGCATGAAGCACTGGATCTCTAGGCTCATCAGCCATTTCAGTGTCCCTAGGGTCAGCAGCAATCCCGTATTTACCCACGACACCAGATTTAACAAGAACCAGGATCACTCTCTTGTGATTCTACTTCCACGTGGGTAGCTGCAGTACCAACCGACTTTGCTCTGTTGCTGGATCACTACTTCCTGCAGTGTCAGAAGCACCACATGCATCACACACTCAGACCACTCTCCCTCTGCTTTTTGAATTGCTTGTGAAACCTGCTAAATTCAAGTTCTGAGTTCTAACAGTCCGGGTCCTGGATTCTAAGATACACAAACAGAGGTTGAGTAATCTTCGTATAAATCAATATGCAGCACCTTCATGGGTCCAATCCAACCCTAAATTCTAATTACTCTGCTCACTAAACTATAGAGACACCAAAGACAAATCTTCAATAACAGTTCGCCTCTTTCCTTACCATTGCCTACATACAACAATCATAAAATAATCAAACCTGTTTTGACCATTGTCACAAAAGATAACATTACAAGATTATGTACATATAAGAAAGAACATGAACTGTTGAGTTTAGCTAGTGTATCAAAAAAAAATCAATAACTGAGAAGCTGCGCAAATTTTCCCTTATATAGCCTACTGGAAATCTTTGCAATAGAAATATAAAATCAAAGAATTAGATAGATTGATCACCATAATTTGGTGAAAGGGCAACAGTGGTCAAAGGTATCAGCTGCTTTGATTGGAGGAAGCTGAATGTGCTCCCCAATAGCTGACTCTTGATTTCCCATGCAGATGCGCAATGGATATGGAAGATAGGTTGTGTAACAGATGGTTAAGAGAATATAGTACATAACTAAAGCCTATGATATTCTACATATTATTTATACCACTTTCTTAATCTTTCAAATATAGGGCAAAGAGCTGGCATGTGCTAAGGGCCTTTAATTATCTGGAAGAGGTCGTTAGTTTGCTATCTTCTTTGTAGCAAAGCTATCAGCGACTTCTTTTCAGAGTATAGTTAGCTATAGTAATAATAAGAGAAAAAAAAAAGATAACAGCTATTAAGCTGGTTCGTGCTTTGATGAACAGAAATATGAAGAACAGCTAGGGACTTCAGTAAGTTTTCAAATGAATTGGGGCTCTATTTCACGACAACACTCTCTTAACGGAACCATTTTTTCTATTGAAATTTTCCAAACAACACTATATTGCACTGTTGTTACTGCTAGTTTCAGTAAAAAAAGAAGACACATGCAGAACTAACACGATCTGGGACACTGAGCTGAAGCAAAACATAGAGAACAAATTATTGTTAGCGAGAAATATGAAGTCAACTAGCACGATGTATAGCATAGCCTGTCACCCGCAAGAAAAACAAAACAGCATAATTAAGGATGTGTTTCCATTTCTGCAGTACCACATACTACTATTGTTGGCACTTGGCAGGATACAGTACTGAAAGTATCGTCTGCCATCGTCGAGAAATTCGTTTGCATGTATCCGGCAATATTAAGAGGTAACCCCTCGGAGGAGCCGATCTGAGTTCCGAGTGGTCACAAGCAATAAGAGGGAGGAGGAGGCGAGGCCGGTGTATGCGTCACCTGTGCCACGCGGGGTGCCGGAGTATGGTGAGCAAGGCTAGACCTTGCCGTCGGCGGGGTCGATGAGCTCACTTCCGCACCTGCAGTCCCCCTCTCCACCTCCGTTTCGTCCTCGCCGCCGTCGGCCTTCCAGCTACCATCCAAACCCTCACCGATGCGCCGCCACGACCGCCTTGAGGATTTCGACTGGAGCTGCGTGGGTCGGGTCAATTTTCTGAATCGAACCCGTCCTCAGACCAGCCCGTTTTACACCTTTTTTTAGCCTAGCCCGTTTACAGTTGTGCGGGTTAAACCCACAAGTCAAACTGGGTCTAGACCGCTTCCCATCTACTCGTACTTGACTTGCATCACCTCAAAAAAAGAAAAAAAATCTGCTTGACTTGCATCTTAAGAAACGAGACCAACCAAGACTAGCCTTTGGTGGAGGGAGACTCGAACGTCGAACCTTATCGGGCTAGCTGCGCACTCGCAGCCGTAGCCAACAGAGCAACGCCCCGTTTTCGACTTACTGCATCTTCATTGATTGACTTACTGCATCTACCTTTGATATATGAAATGTTTGGTGCAACTCCGCTAACGTAAAGAAAAACACTTCCTAGCAAACGTCTGATAACAAACGTTCGTTAGGCTACTCGCGTGTCGTCGATGCTTCTTTTATCTCACGGCCAAGATTGCCTCCGAAATCCTTTGATTTGTTTCCAAACCAACTTGATTATCTAGCCACATATTGACCTATAGTCACTTCAGCATTAACTTCACCTGCCCAAACCAACCAGTCCCCATCCCCATCGTCTGCTCCCGAGCTCACCTATCTCATCCCCGCCCTTCTCTCCACCATGAACCAACCTCCCCTGTTCCCGTGAGATTCACCATGTAGGTGTGTCGTTCAAAAGTTGTGCCTAGCATTAGCCACGCTGTGTATGACCAGTAAGCTTGCAAACCGTCGTCGTCCTGGTCATCTACACTTGCTTCAGGTCCCACCACATCCAATCAACCGTGGCGAAGCATCATCTCGGTTGTCGAACGAATCCATCACGCAAGGAAATTGCTGGAGTCGCACCCACCTCCTCCGCAGGTACCATCCTCATCTGACATAGGTAATCCCAAGAAATCTTGATATAGCCCTCTCTATTTTCTAACACTAGTAGAACGCCCGTGCATTGCCACGGGCTTTTTCCTTTCCTAATTTTACATATATAAATATAATGCATATAGCTCAGGTGGAGTCCAAATGATAAATATATAACTCAGTACCCAAATTCCACATGTATATAAAAGTTGAAATCCAGTCCACTTGCAATGTAATTCAACAATGTATACAAAGAGATCGATGATAATTATCTGTTACAAACTAAGACATACTTGATGCGTTTGAGATATTCATGAACAACAACGTCAGGAATGTTCTTCGCTTCATTCGCATGGTAATCATATTGCTTGCTTGGGTTATATCCAACGGTACAAGGAATTTTCCCATGGGAGAGCTTGATTTCTCACGTTCGCATACTCGTACAGTTTTTACAGCAATCTCCCGAAGCTTAGCAAGATCAAGTGGGCTCTGCGCATGAAAGCAGATAATCAGATGGAATCAAAAATCCTGCTTCATTCAAGCCAAATTAAATATGCTTCAGTTTATTGTTTTCAAAACAATAGATGTCTAGTCTCATAGTAAAACTTATAACTAACAGAAAACCTTTGTTAATATCGACAACATGAGATGTGTCACTAAATCAAATAATAGGGGAATTAGTGTGTTAAGGATTTTTCATAACAATATTGTATCTTGTTGACATTATCAATAGGTGTTGGATAACCTAGACAACACCAGGTGCATCATCTGTCTAGCTAATTCATTTGTGAAGCATAATATGTTGAGAAAAAGGGGAAATATAGTTCATCTCTTGCGCTTAAAATAAAGAAACCGGGAAGCATATAATGAATATTTGGGACTACATCCCCCTTTTCCCTTAGGTTAGTCCCAAATATTTTGCTTCTTGGGTTATGCATAAGAGGATATTTTGGGTTGAGTCTGATTTTGACCCAATAACTAGGCTATGACACATTGTAATAAAGTTGCGACAAGTAATATGGATCAGAGGGAGTAATAAACTTTGACGAGATGAGAATTCCTATCAGAGCAACAAAGGAATCCGACCAACATATCCATGGAGTATCCCAAAGAGTATTGTTTATACCACAATAACTTTGTTATGACACATTGCACGCTGAACTTAGGCAGTACCTCTTAAAATTATCTTAAAGGAAAAGTTGACTCTGGTGAGTATAGATACTCGGCATATACTGCTCCCAAATCTAAAGGGAGTATTTTTTGTAATGAAGAGATATATTTTACTGCAACACAAGGATGAATGATATTTTCCGACATTCAGGCCATGCTTCATGGACAACAATTTCTACATTAGACAAGCACAAACTGAAAATCTAGAGCTAAGATGTACATGCAATAGTTACTTTACACTCTTTCATACCAAAGCATATGATTTGATCACTTCCAAGTTCGAACATTGCCATGTCAGTTCATCAAATAGAAAAACATTACCTTGTCTAAGACCTCGCTTATGATAACGTTTAGGTGCAGACCTTTGCTCATATACACTTTCTGAAGTAGGATTTGGATTTGGAAGGTTATCACATAGAAATTCAGTTCAATTAGAAAATATTGATAATACCACAAGGAATAGGCAGGAACCATAAAAAATGTGACTGCATCCTACCTAGTGCTTCTCCAAATTAAACCATGTCACTCACCTGAAAAACTTCTAGATTGTGACCAATGCCACAATTTATGTCATCTTCTACTAAAAACTATGCAAGCTCATGTCCTTCTCTAGCTGATTATGTCACCTAAACCAGATTAAATTTTATTAGTTTACCCATGCTAAATTATGTATCAAAACCAGGGTAACAACTTTTCAAAGGTAAAGAAGTATAGAACAACATGTAGCCTGATCTTCCCAAAACATGCACTAAGCAGAATATCAATGATAGGTGTGGAGATGGGAAGGCCATGGAAATAAAAGGTAGATTGGATCAAACCTGCTCTGATCAGGTCATCAGAGTCAGTCCTGCAGCGTGGGGCGGCGGAGCACGACGGCAGATGGCTATCTTGACCCTGAAGGTGCACATGGCCTCCACGGGGCACACACACGCCCAACACACTACATACATCACAAATCGCATCGCGCACACACACAAAATACACTCACCACACCTAGCAACCGTGCGCGCGATCGATCCAACAATGCCCCCACGCACCCTAGCGGGGGGGAGGGGACCACACATTAAAGGGTAGATAAGTTGCAACAAATAAGGTAACATATTTTTATTTTTCAAAAAGAAACTTTCAGTTAAAGAAATTGGAAGTTTGACCAAGTTGTAGGTTACCTAGATTAAAGGAACAAATGCACTCCAGTGTGT